TATGCCATGAAAGCAATCGACCCGACTATGACGAGCTATATCGTGAATCAACCTACGAGTGGAGTAACTTCGCCTCCAATCACTTTTACGCAAGAAGATGCACTAGGGGTGCACTATCCCCACTGTGATGCTCTAGTGGTTAGGGTTGTTATCGCTCGCAATGGCCTGAAAAGAATGTTAGTGGACTACGGAAGTTCAGTCAATATTATATTTGGTACCACCTTTGATAAAATGAAGGTCGATCATGATCTGTCCCCAGTGAACTCTCCCTTTTCGGATTTACTGGAGATAGCATCATCCCTAGGGGAAAAATCACCTTGGTAATAGAAATGGGAACTAAACCTCTGGCTGCTCGACGCTTCATGGAATTCTTCATAGTCGACAACCGATTTGCTTACCACGGGGTACTTGGAAGACCCGCATTAAAAGAGCTATGGCCGGTAACCTCGATTCACCACCTATGCATGAAATTCCCTACTGATAGTGGAGTGGCAACAGTTCGAGGCAACCAGCGAGGCTCTAGAGAGTGCTATTCCAACTTCTTGAGAAAGACAGAACCGAGGACCACCAACGTCATCTTTGCTGACGTTGATATGAACGACCTCCTTGAACAAGGGATCGTCCCTGAAGAAAGGGAGGACGTCCTCATGACCGAAGCTCCTGAACAAGGAGCAGTAGCTGAAGCAACCGGCCTGGAAGAACTCAAACCCCGCATTATTGATTGCGAACCTTAAACGGCTCCGATGGAGGAATTGGAAACTTACCTAGCCGACCCAATGGACCCAACAAAGCTCCTACAAGTGGGTACCAACCTACCACGTGAGATGAAAGAAAAGTTGAAAAACTTCTTGCGAAAAAACCTTGATATATTTGCCTGGAAGCACATCGATATGATAGGCGTCGACCCCAAGGTCAGCTATCATCACTTGAATATTGATCTGAAAGCCACAACTCATGAGAGCCCTTAACCTAGAAAGATATGAAGCCCTAAAGGACGAAGTCAAGAAACTGATTGACAATGGCTTCGTCAGGGAATCCGTGTATCCGAAATGGATCTCCAACCCAGTTCTGGTAAAAAGCACAACGGGAAGTGGAGGGTATGTATTGATTTCTCAAATCTGAACCAAGCATGTCCAAAAGACAGCTTTCCCCTCCCCAGGATAGACCAAGAGCCTGTTTGGTACAGATTCTCATTTTCTACAGTAAATCAATTCTCATTTTCAACCACACATTCTTCAATAAAATAATATTTTTCATCACATCAATACTTTTTTCTTCTTTTTCAACCACACATTTCCCATCATATCACTATTCAAAAATCAATTCTTCCCCAAAAAATCCCTACCAAACACACTCTAACTTGTAGATTCAACTGCTAGACATGAGCTCCTCAACTTCATGGACGCATACTCTGGGTACAACCAAATTCCCATGTTCCCACCGGATGAGGACCATACCTCCTTCATCACAGACAAGGGGCTCTATTGCTACAAGACTATACCTTTCGGATTAAAGAATGTTGGAGCAACATACCAGAGGTTGGTAAACAAGATGTTCGCAGACCTCATCGGCAAAGCCATGGAAGTATATGTGGACGACATACTGGTGAAAAGCCAAAAATCAACAGACCACATTACCCACCTGAATGAGGCTTTCCTGATCCTACGAAAGTATCAAATGAAGTTCAATCCTTTAAAGTGCACTTTTGGGGTATCATCGGGTAAGTTTCTTGGTTACATAATTAATCGGAGATGAGGCGAGTACGAGAATCATATTCCCCGCCCTGCTACACATCCCATTTAAAATTAATTTTAAATTTAAGTTTTTTTATCAAACAAAAAAAATATATTTATTATATTTTTAAAGAGAATATAAGTTGTTTCTGACAAATTGGTAAAAAAGTAATAATATTTACTAAATCTCTGTTTGTTTTGAATTAAAATTAGATTTTAATTTAGGTCAAAATCAAACAATCAATATTAACTGCATCTTTCATGGGTCCCACAACTTTTCAAACACACATTTCAAAAATTTCTATCATAGTTTAGTAAAAATCTAATATTAATCTCCACCAAACACCCACTAAGTAAAGACATAAAAAAATAAAAGCAAAAAATAAAATAAATAAAAATAAAAAATAAATAGGGCAGGGGACCTGCCCTGCCTTGCTTCTATCCCGCTCTGAACCCGTCCCGCTTTAAACAAGTATGAGGATGAGGTAAGGTAACAAAAATATTCGATGAGACGGGGGGTGAGAATTGCTGACCCGTCTCATGTCCGTTCCGTTGCCATCTCTAATCATGGTCAGCAGAAATTGTATAATAAGGAGGAAACTCCCGTTAGTGCACAAGCGCAATTGGAAGTTATGCTTTAATTATTGGCCATGTTTGGTATGATTTAAAATTCAAATTTTAATTTAAATCAAAGTCAACAAATAATTTTAGCCACGTGTTTCATAGGTCCCACAACTTTTAACCACGTATTTCATCAACTACTATGAATTTTTTTTTTTTTTTTTTTTTTTGAAATCTGATTTTAATCCCTATCAAATAGGCTTGATGTAATTTTCTCCATTTTGTTTAAAAATTATTATTGATGGTACAAATGCAATTCCCCTTATGGGGTTACATTGATGATATCATTGGTTTAATGGTTTTGACGAAATGTTTGAGGTTCACCCCAAAATCAGTCCGTCGATCCGTCCCGTTTTAAGCATCCTTTTCTACATTCATCATAAAGGGGCAAAAAAAAGCGTGATTTGACACACATTTTCCTAATTAGAAAATAAAATTAGTTCAAAAAAGGTTTATCATGTCAAGCCATTTTATCATATCAGTAAGGTAACACACAGGTCGAGTAGCTGACGGGCTCGTGGACTCGACTCATCCCCACTAGGTCCTGGATGGCTTGGATACATTTCGAGATGAATAATGGATAGAGCCGAACACAATTTATTTTTCATGAGCCGGCTCATGGGTCAAGGCTCACAATTTATTAATTCCCTTATTAAGAAACACAAATAAGATCACGAGCTTGTGGACGGCTCAACTCAACCTATTAGGCCCACGAGCCAAAGCATCGAACTAAGCCCAATTTGTCCACACGAGTTGAACTCGACTTGTACATAGAATGGAAAATTTCGTATCTACATCATTACACAATAAAATTTCAAGATTTACTACTTGACATTTATAAGTCAGGCAATGTGATATGGTAAATATTTTAAGAAATATTATATATCTAATATAGATCCAAACAGTTTTTGTAACTGATATTTTTTTAAATAAAAGGATGAACCACATCCTTAGCGGCTCCCACCTGTCTTGTCATGGGCCTTGGTGAATGAGGTAAATCGCAGATTATGCCTCCAAGGGTATAGGGTGGAAAACTGCTTGTACACTTACAATTACCCAAGAGCCAAATCCATATTTTAGGATTCGAACTCTTGACGCGGCAGCCTCAAGCTGATTATTCAATATTGTTTCCCAAAAAAAAAAAATAAGAATTGGACAAAGCAATACATACAAAATTCATTCTTATAATTTAGATTTCGAAATTAACATAAAATTTCTTTATGCCATGAAGTCCATAATTCTTTGCTATGATGATATCCAAATTTTTCTTCCTGTCACGTCTAACGCTACACGATACAATGATGTAGAACTGCTTTTGAGTGTTCTCATATTGTGAATGAAACTTGAAAAAACAATTATTGGAAAGGAAATGCTTCAATTCAGTTAAATATGGTGATATTATACCTCCTATTAGGATTTGTATATTGACGAAAAAACCCTAATCATTCATGTATAGAAGATCTAAACACTGATTCTAGAAAATATCTTGATGGATTAATGTGCTGTGAATATGTGAAATGATCGGTTTGTACTGATGATTTCAATTTCTTGAGAGGATTCTAGATGGAGAATAACGAGAAAGAAAATGAATCGATGCGAATTAGGGGATTTGAACTGTAAAATTATAGTAATGATGTGTTTGGTGGAACAAATTCAGCTCATAATTGATTATCTAATATAAGTGATATTATTATTATGGTAAGAGGCATATTTGGGAGGAACCAATTCAGCAGTGTTTTGATTTTCTAGTATGAGAGGTGATTTCCTCTTTTTTTATTTTACTATATTTTCTATAGTAATTTTAGGATAAAATTAATTACAAAGTAATCCTCGAAATTTTATATAATATTAGGTAAGGGGGCGTAATTTTCACTACATAGAACTAAACTGGGCCCCTAGATCATTAAACTGTACAAAACTAATCGAATTGGACACGTCATCACCCCTACATAACATCAAACACATGTAGACAAAGTGCCGACATAATCCTAGTGTCTCTCCTACTATGTTATTTCACAATATAGTAAAGTGAATTCTTATCCAAATTCCAAAAGGTATAAAATCGCACATACGCCTGTCCATTCCTTTCAAGCTGGATCCAGCCCTGAACTCGTGACCTTGTTCGATTGAACTCGTTGACTCCGCCGCGCTAAGTTATATTCATACTTGGTAGGATACTTAGCCCCTGTTTGATACACATTAAAATTTTCATTCTCATTCTTTTACTTATTTTTAACCACATATTTTTCAATAAAATAATATTTTTCATCACATCAATAACTTTTCCTTCTTTTTCAACCACAAATTCTCCATCAATCTGCTATTCCAAAATACATTCTTTCAAAATAACGTGAATCAAACACAACTTTAATCTAAAGCTTAAAAGAAAAAGAGAATTGAATGATAATTTCACACCGTTAAGTTTGACTTTGACCCAACAAAAACTTGCAAGACACAAACATCCGGAAAATGCAGCTTTATATTATAATTGGAGATTTATTTTATTTACATTTCCATTGTCCAGTTGCACCGCCGGATAATTCATACACAAACTATAGTTATAAAGGTCTATAGCTTATACTTCCACAGATTTATTTTATATACAGTTCCTATAATAAAGCCAGAGAATTCATAAACTGTATTCACTTAAAACCGGAAAAGTCCGGTAAACAAGCTGCGCCGCCAATGAAGCGGCGGGTCTAACGGCAGCGGCCTCAGAATAGGCGTAGCCCAATTTTTACCATCAGCTACACCACGGCCAGTGATGGTGCCGCCACTCCTGTAATCCAATGTCTCGTCGTTGTAAATGTCCCACCATTTTTTCACTAGCATTTTGATATCTTCTCTGTCCATGTACTCTTCTTTCCCAGTGTACTTCCACGGCTTCGATCCTGCCACACAGTAGTGTACCGCTTTCACCTTTTCCATCTCGACCAGCTCCGGGTGGCGCCACAGCATTGCCACCAGTAGGTTGTAAACCGGCGGTAATGGCCTTAAAATATCTCTAAAGAACATGTTAAGAAAGTCCTGCAGGTTTAGCCATCATCAACAAGAGAGAAATCAGCAAAATGGCTTGAAAAATGCCCTGAACTTTACCGAAGACCCTTGAACACAAAGGCAGTTTCGATTTTCAAAATGAATATTACCTGCTGCATATATATATGTCTATAAAAATTCAGTTACCTGCTCTGCAAATGGGGATGGCGGGGTGATTTTCAGAGTGTTCAAAAGATCATGATATGTAGAAATACTAGGCTCGAACATAAACATGCCGCCATTGAAATAGAACGGTGGCTCACGGCCCAGCTCCTCCGGCCACTGGACTTTCTGCGAGCACGGCGGACCATCCATCTCACACAAGCAATCCACAACGCCGTAGAAGCCACCGTCCGGCGAGTCAAAGAGGTGGTCTATGTTATCAAACACTTGAATGTCTGCATCCAGGTATATCATTTTTTTGTACTCCACAAACTACACTCGAGAACAAATAAATGTATTACCTCAAATTTTGAAGAAAAACATTTGGTCTCATCCTCAATTTGCTAGACATGAAGGGTGCGGTGCAGTCAAGTCTTGAAATATCATCATATTCCAGCAAAATTAATTTAAAGTTCAACATAGAATTATTTCTACTTATGAATGTTCAAAGATTCTAACCACTGTTATAGTAATTGCAAAAAAGGGAAAACGGGAAGCAGTTGAAAAAATAGGATTCTACAAAATTAAATAAATCAACTACAGTACACTTATTTATAGTTAAATTAAACTCTAATCACTTGTTATTTGTTAATAGTATAAGAATTAAAATCTGAAATTATGTGAATTGTTTTTTGAAGCCCAGAATTTAGTTAAGAAACCCACTGAAAAAGTACATAATAATGTGCAGTTCTTAATTTAGGTTCTCAAATATTTTGGTAAGTCTCATAAAAATGTGCAGTTCTTCAAGGTTTTCAAATATATATTATTAAAATTTTAAAACAATATTTTATTTTATTTTTAAATCGCGTGCGGAACCAACGGCCGCCATTTTAGAATTTTCTGCGCATCCTCTCTAGTAGCATGATAGTTAATATTATATACACACAGATATATACATATATTTATACAAACGTCTTAGTCTGTAAGATACAGTTCCGCAAGTGCTGTAATAGAATTGGGTTGCAAAATCTCACCTCCCAAAGACGTAGCTTACAGTAATTGAGTGCAAAGTAGGATCTGATATAGGGACTGCCCTTGTCACTAACAGGAGGATGGACTTCATCAATCTGACGAATGATACAACCCTGATTCACCAGCATGCAGCGGTGCTCCGCAGGGACGTTGGCCAGAACCGCCACCACAAGAGGGTACGCAGCATTCACCTTCCTCAAGCCCTTAGCCAAAGCCACCACCCCTTTCACATATTCACCATCCCCGGCCAAGAAAGTAACATAGGCACGGCCAGGCACGTTTTTGGTTGCTGGAATATTCACCATTGCAGGAGTCATAATTTCTGGGTTTTTCGAACACAGATGCTGGAAATTTTTGAACTTAACTTCAAGTAGGAGAAAAGATTAACCCGGTGGAGAAATTTATAACATATTCTCGGGAGAAATTTCAAATGAAGTCACCAAATATTAATATATTTTACTTTGAACACCTACATTATATTTTGATTCAGTTTAATCATTGAACTTTATTTTTATTACATTTTGACTATTTTGTACTCCCAGCATTGAGTTTCTGCTTGATTCATATTAATAATTAATTTTAACTACACGTTTTATGAGAGTCACAACTTTTCAGTTACACATTTTATCAATTTTTATCAAAGTCTACTAGAAATTAATTTTTACCTAACCCAAATAGTGTTACATGTATGATTCTAATTTTTATATTAATGTCATTTGTCACAATTGATGAATCCAAGGATGTCAAAATTGTTTGGCCGCCTTTGCCCATGATGATCACCCTCTTAAAAGATTGGATTATTATTATAATCAACTCGATTTGGCTCAAGCTAATTCACAGTCAAAATGGATAGTCATGTCAAATTAATTAGGGTGGCTGTCGGATGGTTCGGTCTAAATATTTCAACAATCGAAACTATTCATTAAATTTCAAGTATTTTATAGATAAAATCATCGACGTAATTTTTCGAACTTGAACCTGGACCTGCACCTGCACCTGCACCTAGACCTAAACTAAGGGTTTCGATTAAAATGCCACCGTTACATAGCCTGATGGTCCATTAGAGCTAACCCAGTTGGGCCCCTAGTTAAAAATAATAAAATATAAGGGTTCGTTTGATGGATAAAAGTGAAAATGAATTTCAATTCTATGTTATTTGGAAAATAAAAACCCATCAAACTCATAAAAATTCGTTTTCCATGAAAATAAAGAAAATGCAACTTAAAGTGATTGTACCTTGGAATTCAGTTTCTATTTCTATGTTGCAATCAAACGGTCAAAGTGAAATTCTTTTTCATCGAATGTAACATTTTATATGGAATTCGTTGCACTCAAGCATGGCCCTAATTGTAAATTAAAAAGTTTTGAGCATTTTTATGTCATAACACCTCTTTCTTTGTAAATTATAATCATAAATTCCGTTAGCCAGATTACAAATTCAAAATTTCACAATGAATAAATCTAAGTTTATAACATTGATTGACAATCATGTGTTGTCAAAATCCTAGTATGTGAGTAGAAAACATTGTTTTAAATAAATGGATATAATGATGTCAAATTGGATGTTGTCAACTAAATTGAAACAATTTTATGAAATTTTTTTTTAAAGTTCCCGACAATCAAGAAATTGACATAAAAAGGAAAACGTGTAAGGAGTGCAAAACACGTGGACAAAATATGTTGAACCGCGTGGACAAAACTTGTTGAAATATGTCGGCATTGTTATCTCTTCGTAACGCATTTGTGGTCCGTTACTGCTTTTACCTTAATTTAATATTGTGTTGCAGAAATTGAGTGGTGGAATGTAAGAAACTAATGTAAGTTATTGATTTTGAAGTAAATAAGATTCACAAGTTAGTTAAATTATCCTATAAGTTTAATCGCATTTTTATAGATATTGCTAGGTTTATTTTATTAAATATTGTTCAGTATTATCCAGTTAAGTCCATTAAATATGTCATTTTACGTGTAAATAGACATCATTCGATGTACTTACAAATTCATTAGACAAGCTTTTTACGTGTGATTTGAACATTAAACGAGTCAATTACAAAATTTTGAGTATATCTATTTGATTCACCGGTAGGGATAGGATCTTTGGCATAATGGACAAAAAATTGCAGGGTGGAAGTTGGGAAAGTGTGACACCACTACACGACGGAGCCACCGCTTAAACGGTGACGGAATGGAGACAAATACTTGGTGAGCAGTTTTTGCTGTCATCAATATTTGTGTGTAATGTATTTTACGTTTGTTTATTCCTCGGGAATTGCTAAGAATCAAACACATTTCTAGCTGAAAAATAATTGTAATAAATTTCTGGAACATCAAATATAATTTTGAAAGTTTGGGGATGAAAAATCCTCCAATGTTTTTTACCGGTTGAAGATGTAAATACAAAGATGTAACCGGTCATATTGTTTGAGATATAAAAAATAAAAAAATATCAATAAGCTGAAGAAGATAAGTTTTAATATAATTAAATTTTTATTTTTAGAGATATAAAAAATAAAAAAATATCAATGCGCTGAAGAAGATAAGTTTTAATATAATTAAATTTTTTTTTTTTTATACTTCACATTCACCCACCTACTACATGCTAAAAAATAAGGGTGATTAGCAAAAAATATCCATACCATTTGCACTTATTTATGGAAATAGTCCCCATCATTTTAAACTTAGACATCATTTCAAATATTTCTTGCGGAATTGGTCATTTCCTGCGTATTCTATTCAGTTAAATCCTTCCGTAAAATATGAATAATAGGCGCAAAAGTTCCTATCGTTTGCCTTCATTGTCCAAATCGTCTACATTGTTTCAATTTTGACATTTAAGCACTCAAATATAACTTTCTTTACACAAAAAGATCTTTACCATCTATTTTCTCCATGCATTGTAAAATAACTAGTTTACATTCCTCTTTAAATAAACAAATAGGAAAGAAAAAAATGGTCAAACTTAATTTTGGTGGTTAATTGACGGAAAAATGGATGGAAACTATCCAAAAGGGCCTCACATGCAATGGTTGGAAATGTTAGGAGTAATAACTGCAACAAATCAAAAGTTTTGAGGAAAGTCTACTAATGTTTCAAAGGTTTGAAACTTTTACTGCAATTATCCCTTTAAAATACTCAAACAAAAATTATCTTATCAAGTAACCCACTTGTATGCTCATCCCCTATCCCCCACAACCACCACCAAAATAATTAAAAAAAAAAAAGTAAAAAAAATAATTTAAAAATGGTGCTTCTTCTTCATCATCCAATTTTCTTTTGCCTCATATATACTAATTTATCTATTGTTGAACAAAGTCACAACAAAGTTTAAAAGCTCACAGTGGGTATGTGTGTGTATGGAAATATTCTCCTTCCCACGGTGGCAAAATAAGACTGCCTACTTGTTGATGTGGCAGGAGAACCCAACTTTGAGTTCTCTTCAAATGTGAGAACCCAACGTGAGTTCTCTCCGAGTGGACATTATAAGACTTCCTACCGTGAGCAGGAGAACAGCCCTGTGTGTGTGTGTGTATGCAATCAACGACAAGAAGATAGAAACAATAATTTGTTGAAAATAGCTAAATACTTTTAAAACCTTGTAATTTCGCTAAAAACTAAAAGATATTGGAATGCAAAACTTGATTACAGGAAAGTATCCAAATTCTTGGATGGTGCCACAGTGGGATGGGGAATATGGGTGGATGTGATAGCGAACGATGGCAAAGGGCGGAATTGGATAGGAAGAACCGCCATTTTGTTATTTTTTTTTCTATTTTAATTTTTTTCTTAATTTTTTTATACTTTTAATTCTCTTTTTTATTATTTTGGTGTTGGTGGTGGTGGGCAGGAGATGGATGTAGGGGTAGATGGGTTAATTGGGAAGATAAAAAGTATTTTTCTTTTGTTAGAATATTATAAATTGTTTTACGTGAGACTAGTTCATACTTTTTTTAAAAATTGAGAGTATATTTATGGACTTGCTCATGATCAGAATTTCAATAGATCGATTTTGTGGGAAANGTAAAATAACTAGTTTACATTCCTCTTTAAATAAACAAATAGGAAAGAAAAAAATGGTCAAACTTAATTTTGGTGGTCAATTGACGGAAAAATGGATGGAAACTATCCAAAAGGGCCTCACATGTAATGGTTGGAAATGTTAGGAGTGATAGCTGCAACAAATCAAAAGTTTTGAGGAAAGTCTACTAATATTTCAAAGGTTTGAAACTTTTACTGCAATTATCCCTTTAAATACTCAAAACAAAAATTATCTTATCAAGTAACCCACTTGTATGCTCATCCCCTATCCCCCACAACCACCACCAAAATAATTTTAAAAAAAAAGTAAAAAAAATAATTTAAAAAATGGCGCTTCTTCATCATCCAATTTTCTTTTGCCTCATGTATAATAATTTATCTATTGTTGAACAAAGTCACAACAAAGTTTAAAAGCTCACAGTGGGTATATGTGTATATGAAAATGTTCTCCTTCCCACGGTGGGCAGAATAAGACTGCCCACCTGCTGATGTGGTACGAGAACTCAACTTTGAGTTCTCTTCAAATGTGGGAACCAAACATTGGGTTCTCTCCGAGTGGATATTATAAGACTTCCTATCGTGAGCAGGAGAATAGCCCTGTGTGTGTGTATGCAATCAACAACAAGAAGATAGAAACAATAATTTGTTGAAAATAGCTAAATACTTTAAAAAACCTTGTAATTTCGCTAAAAACTAAAAGATATTGGAATGCAAAACTTGATTACAGGAAAGTATCCAAATTCTTGGATGGTGCCACAGTGGGATGGGGAATATGGGTGGATGTGATAGCGAACGATGGCAAAGGGCGGAATTGGATAGGAAGAACCGCCATTTTGTTATTTTTTTTTCTATTTTAATTTTTTTCTTAATTTTTTTATACTTTTAATTCTCTTTTTTATTATTTTGGTGTTGGTGGTGGTGGGCAGGAGATGGATGTAGGGGTAGATGGGTTAATTGGGAAGATAAAAAGTATTTTTCTTTTGTTAGAATATTATAAATTGTTTTACGTGAGACTCGTTCATACTTTTTTTAAAAATTGAGAGTATATTTATGGACTTGCTCATGATCAGAATTTCAATAGATCGATTTTGTGGGAAAAAGTCCAGATTATGACAATAAATCTAGTTTATTAATTGTAAAACAGTTAATTACTCAAATGTGTCGGCATAATCACAACTCTAGATGCAATTTTTTATATTTTTAATTATTTCTTTTCTATTTGTTTATTTAAAGAAGATTGTAAATCAATCATTGCACAATGCTTTAGTGGTAAAAATAGACGGTAAGAACCTTTTGCGCAAAAAAAGATCAATCTAAGTGCTCCAATATCAAAATAAAACGCAAGGGACGATTTGCACAATGAAGGCAAATGATAGGTACGTTTTTGCGCCAATTACCCATATTTCACGAAAAGATTTAACGAAACATGATGAAAATGACTAACTCCGCAATAAAGGTTTGAAATGTGGGTATGATGTCAAGTTTGAAACGATATGGATCATTTCTGCTATGAGTACAGCCAATAGGAATTTCTTTGCCAATTGTCCAAAAATTAATTGGAAAGGTCCTCCGAAAAATTTAAACTGACATGTTTCAAACGGGGGAATCATATATCGTGCCTTAACTATACCCCAAGTCAATTTTAAAAGAAAATATTTAATATTCTAAAACTCTTGTAATATATATAGTATATAAAAATAAGATTCTATTAAATTAGATTTTTAAAATCAAGCATTCAGTTACCATCTCAAAACGAACTCTCCAAAATACAAAATCATCGTCGAATATAACAAAAAAGCCATATAGATCTATCAAATTCTTGATTACCATCGCCAACATTTGGTTGATTGAAAATAATTGGACAATTGATGTCACAAATTGGAAGTTATCATCACAGTAGATCAGAATTTTCAAGGTGGCGGATAACATTGCTAGTTGTTGTATTGAATTGAAGGCGTAGAGCTTAAAATTAGATCTCAAGGGTTTCGAATTCACAATTTTTAGCGGATAACATTCTATTATTGTTGCATCTTCCTATTTTTGAATTTATAAACGGTGTTGAAGCTTCAGTTGTCAGTTGCTATCAGGGAAATTGAAGAGCTCAATTGTCGTCGGTATTTGATGTTATGTGATCCTAGTTTATATTTGTGACTTGTTTCAACAGCTTACTACATAGTCTGGTCACATTCGGGTAATCATTTACAAAGTTCATATAATCGGTCACATTTACAAACTGTGGCATATTTGGACATGCTGAATGCATCCGTGATCATTAATGTCCATTCTATGACATGTAAAAGTTGGGACATGTATCAAAACCCGACCATGTCCGTAATTATTTCGAGCTTCTTATGGCATGCATGTGTGTTTGACCTAAACTTTTTCTCTGTGGCCTAGTACTTAATCTCTTAATGCAAATAATGTAGAACATCCATTTGACCTGTGATGTTCATTCTGTGACCTGTAATTAGTTTAACACCGAACGCACATTTGCCTATATGACATCATATCTTCAAAAATTTTAATTGCGTCTTGTAATGATATTTGTGACTGACATTATTCCGTATACATTTGTAGAAATGGGGTACGTGCACATTTGTTTATTGAATGGATCAGATTTATCGTTGGTGTCCGTTGATCTTATTTGCTGTTATATGAAGCTTGTGGACATCCTTATGACCGAGTTTGGTTTGGATCCTAAAAATGTGATAGTCTCAATGACGTATTGAACAAGGAACTGCCTCTGGTCAAAATAAAGAGTGACAGTAATATATTGTTGTACATGATGCTAAAGGATATGGATCCAAATACCCCGTAAGCATTGATGTCACATCTGCTGAAAGTGGACAATAATCAATTATGTTTCCAATTAATGTACAATCTAGTGGAGGGTTTTTTAACTAGAGCATATGTCATTACCTTGTTCGAGGTCGATTTTGTGATTGACCCAAAAGTTTTGTGTCTTTTTATGGAGATTGTTGCGGTATGTCCTCTACCTCTTCTATTCGGAACCTCATCTACCTTCTTCCCCTGATTTCCACTTCTCAATCGGACCATTTTATGTGGATTTTAGAGTCTCTAGTTCTCACATAGGAAAATAGAGAATATGATGATATGTATGGTTGAAGACGATAACGAGCTCACCTAAGGTATTTATCAGCGACGAAGGAACGAGAAGGTAGTTTTTCGTGCAAGAGAGGAGGATTGTACGTGGGATGAAGGCGATTTTCAAAAAATAAGGAAGTGAAGTTGATTTTCAACAATGGACCACTTAAATTATGGGATACACCCTTATTTAGGTTTAACATTTAATATTTAATTATTACATGTTAAACACCTGATTTATGAATAGTTAAACCTTAAACTTGATTTTAGAACTATATTCTTTAAAAATCGGCTGCAGCACAATTTCTATATCGAATACCATGCTTCTAAAAGTAAATCTTAAAGATATTCCATAGTAAGGCCTCATTTCTAATTGATTTTAGGGCCAAATTTCTTATTCTCAAATAATCAGAAGTTTTATTTGAATGATAAATTTGAAAAAAAAATTGATTATAAAATGATCTGAACCATCTAACAAGTTTTGAAAAGCAACAAAATTATAGTTGCTTAAATTCTGCTTTTAACTTTAAGATACCAATTTTTACTACGATTAATTAAACTCAGAGCATGTTTGACTAAACTTAAAATCCAATTAAAATTGAAAATATAGCCGTTATTAAGTTCCACTCGTCTAATAAAAGTCAACAATAACAACTAATTTTTCAATTTTAATCCGATTTTAATCTCTACCGAACACGCCCTAAATGTTTTCTGCTACATCAACTATACATTTATTTTGTATTTATAAATTTTGAGATTCAATAGGTTTTTTTTTTTTTTTTTTTAGCCCTAATTGTTTTCTGCTACATCAACTATACATTTATTTTGTATTTATAAATTTTGAGATTCAATAGGTTTTTTTTTTTTTTTTTCATTTCAAAATAACAGCAGTGAATATGGTTCTTAAGAAAAATATTTAATAATATTACATATTATTATAAAAAATAAAAATAAATTGTACAATACAATCAATAACAATAAGGATATAAAATGACATCAAAATAATTAATGTCCAGTTTATTAAATTTTACATTGATGTAACAAATCACTTTTTTTTTTTTTTTTTATCAAAAGTGAAAATACTGATCTTGAAACAGAGAATAATTTTGAAACAAAAATTTAGCAAGCATCGACTACTTCTCTCTCTTAAAGCAGCATAGTAATACCAAACCAAACCTAAAACAACTTTGTCGCTACGTTGTGATTCTTGTTCATAAAAATTCATCCATTTTCTGCATTCTCCCAAAAGAACAATATACACCAAAAAAGAGAGAAGGGAAAGAATAAGAAGAAAAACACTACATACAAGATCAGAATCTTTCTCATGGACTTCACTAACAATAGTTGTTCTCCTCTTAGTTCTTTAAACAAAACCGTATTGAAGTCCTTTTCAGTAACAATCTTAAATCAAAAATATTTTTAGGTCTTGTGTGATATGTGACCTTAAAGTGCAAGTATACAGTCGTCATGATTTCAGATGCAAACTACTTTGTAATGTTTCCGAAGATGCACATAGATAAGTTGTCAATTCACAGAGAGACGGTAATTTAGTAAAGATATCTGGAAAATTTGTATCTCCTTAAAAAGAAGTGAAAAAAGTCCACAAGTGGATAGATTTAATCTGTTGTTTAGTAAAACAAGCATAAAATTTTTTCATACGAAATATACACAGGTCTTAAACTCATAAGCACTGTAGTGACAAATGTGGAAAATTTAACGGCACCAAATAATTGAATTCCTAACATGTTTATGAATGAAGTTCTCCAGTATAGATCGTCTACAAGGCATTCATATCAAAATTTACATAAAGCAGGCAAAAACAACAATTCTACATCACCAACTACAAAGATCAGATAGACAAAAAACCAGAACCTCTTTATCGATCTTAATGAATCTTTCATACAATGGTGAATGCTGATTGAATGGTAGATGATAGCCGAGAAGAAAGGTTCTGGGTGGCAAATTCTTGAAGCTGTTTCTTAGCATCTGGAGAAAAGGATTAAAATTATTGCTCAAGGACACAAATTATACGAATAAGTAAATTTTTTAGTATACATATTATTAGTAAACTGCAAGAATGAAACTTCTGTGCATTGTCCAGAAATGCACGCAACACAGAAGGAAACGCCTCTCAGTAAATAACAAATCAATGAAATCGTCAAGTAGATTAGGATGCCAGAAGAACTAATGTGAATTAGCAGTTTATTTTGGCACCAACAATAACCACCTCAACAGCCACAATAATATAATTAGCATCATAACAATAAAATATTGTATTAAGTGACGTGAAACAGTAAAGATAAGAAATCTTTCTAGTGTGAACACAAACTTTTCTCTACATATACCACAAAACATTTAGTGCATTTTGAAATGTATAAGATGCCTTTAACGACTGATCAATGTGAAACATAGTAGGACCATGTACCTTTTCGGCATTTAGTAAAGCCAACAATGTTAGCAATGCTGAGGATCAAACAAACCCCAACAACTAGAATATAATCAGCTTGAAACCTTATGAGAGAGAATATCCCAAAGACGATCCACACAACAGCCTACAAACAAAAGAAACACTTTAGCTGGATTACATTCAAACAAATAGGAAGGCTTTGCAACATGGTGCCAATACACAAAATGCTTTTGACAAATAATTAAATATATGCAACATAATCTCTGCTCAAAATTCATTATCATCACAATTAACAGTTAATTCATCTTTTTTTCTCAGAAAAATAATTCCCGTATGTCAAGCATTTGTTGATATCCTTTTTAACTGTCCTATGCAAGCATCACCATATTATTCCAGTAGAATATTCAAATGTGAGAGCTATGGGATAGTTTAATTCAACCATATTAACTCACTGTAAGGTATGAGGTCCACCAGAATAGCCATGAATCCTTCTTGTTCATCCTCGCAAGTGACTGAGAAATAGCGAAAAGTACAGTAAGACATACATGAGACCCAGTCAATCCTACATGAATTCATGCGCAACGACCAAAAGTACAGATGCATAAATCATCACTGCTCACCTCTTGGTCAAGGCATTCAAATTTCCATACGCTTTCACCATCATCATTCATTTCATTCCACCATCTTAAACCCACCAAGATGCGTCCACTTACATTCTTGACAACCCAAAAATCAAGTGCAGATAGGAGTACAGTAACCACAAAAATGATGACAAAACTATCAACAAAGAATGCTGAAAGCATATAAAATGCCAAAGCTGCAGCCTGGAACAAAAGAAATGATGAAATGATATTACGAAACTTGCTGATGCAGATCAAAATCAGACAGTACCTAAACAATCACAGAAACATGTACTCGACCTTGAAGACCACGTGGAAGAAGCATATCTGCGGATGAGCATAATTTTCCCCTGCAGGCTAAGCACAAAGAGAAAGAAGTTTGAGATAAGCTATCTGCAATGCTGGTTATATTTAATCGTCAATGTAAGTGTGCATTTGGTTTTTTTTTTTGTTTTTCTTATCAGCACATTAACACCACTATTTCTTCTAATCAAAGAGGTGGAGAAGACAAGTCATCCATATCTACTCTTTTAGAGGTTTAAATATGCTCAAGAAGCAACATAGAATCCAGTCTCTTGAATGACTATAACCCAATCAGTTTTTCTTATCAGCACATTAACACCACTCTTTCTTCTAATCAGAGACTCAGAAGGCAGCTTTGATTGGAGTAAGTAGGCAACAGTAAACAAAAATAGAGACAAATACTCCAAAATATTTAGTTTAAGAGTCAAATTCCAGAATCAGCCAGTTGTTGTTCCCTCCACCCCATATAACCTATCTATTTATATTCATATAATTGTAATCCAAACAATTTAATAACAATATCAGTTCTGAGGATCTTTTCATTTCAAATTTATTGAACACAAGTTTGCATGCAAATGCAAATCATAATATGAACCCAAAAAGAAAAATATATCACATAGTAAATTAATTAAACCTTCCAAGTGTATCATTTTAATCCAGGTAGTGCCCCACAGAAACAAAATCGCTAGAAAAAAGAGAGAAATTATGCTCCGAAATGAGATGCATAATCACTGGTCAATCTGCTAAATCACTATTGTTACATTGCATCGTACAAGCTAAAAGTATAGTAGCATTTTATCAACTTGCATATGTCATCTCCTTGTTTACATACGGAGCATTAAATCTCACCGATTCAACATCCACCTATTGCAACTATTCAGCAAGAACCCAATAATCCCCCAAGACTTCCCCTTCGAAAATAGAACTGATCGATTCTCTCCATTTAGGTGTTATGTAAGAAAACGAAATAATTTACAGATGTTCAGAACTAAAGGAGTAATCAATAATATTATAAACAATAATCACTATCGATTCGTAAACAGTGTAATCAGTACGCAGCGGAAATACAGAAATGATTTTTAGTCTACAAATAGTCCTTGAAATTACCGGAGATAATGAAAACTTACTGGATTCAGATCCATTCTAGAATTACAATTCAATAGCGTCCTTCAATTCAGCAGCTTGAATGTTTTTCCAAGGTTTTATAGAAATTAGCAGATTTCAATTCTCGTGCTACGAAATATCGAAGCAAATTTCTTTTTACTTTTCCGCGGTTTAGAAATGGAAATTTAGGGGGCAGAAATTAGGCTTGACATAAAACTACGCCGTTTTGCTTATATATTTTCTTTATTTTCCTGCCCATCCCTCCCCATGTTTGGATAAGCTTAAAAAAAATTAGTTAAAGTAACTTATTTTTCAGTTTTAAGTTAAAAAATTACTTCTTACAAAAGTAATTATTATGTCAATATTTGTTTTTTGGTTGAACAAATATTACGTCAATATTAATAACTTGAGTATTATGAAAAATCTTATTTTACTCAAAAATTGAAACATGCTTAAATTACTTTTAAAATAATGACTCGAATTGATTAATTTAGCATTTTGGCTTTAGAAAGTGGCTTTAGAGTATTATGAAAAATCAAATAAGGTTTTTAAGTATCACCATTTCAAAATTAAGATTTGAGGTTTTAAATTTCAAAAATCAGGTTTTCATTAAAATTTATTTATGAATTAATTAATTAATTATATATTTTATTAATAAATATATAAAGGTCACAGATAATTATTATGTCAATATTTGTTTTTTTGTTGAACAAATATTACGTCAATATTAATAACTTGAGTATTATGAAAAATCTTATTTTACTCAAAAATTGAAACATGCTTAAATTACTTTTAAGATAATGACTCGAATTGATTAATTTAGCATTTTGGCTTTAGAAAGTGGCTTTAGAGTATTATGAAAAATCAAATAAGGTTTTTAAGTATCACCATTTCAAAATTAAGGTTTGAGGTTTTAAATTTCAAAAATCAGGTTTTCATTAAAATTTATTTATGAATTAATTAATTAATTATATGTTCTATTAATAAATATATAACGGTCACATATATATACAATTTGGTTAAAATTCGAATTTTTTTAGGTCACAATTCAAAA